GGTGGCGTGGGGGGAGCAGCTTGGGGCTGGGGGTGCCCCCGCTCACCTCCTCCGCCCCTTCCCCAGGGCCGAACCCGCCGCGGTGCCGGGATGCTGCCGCCCTCCAAGGAGCGAGGCCGGGGGGCTGGGGAGCGCGCAGGGGGACGTCAGGCGAGACCCCCGCCGCGGAGCTGGCGGGGGCTGGCCGGGAGGAACCAGAGGGGGGCCCCTGTGGGGGGCGGCGTCTGGGTGGAGAGCGGCCCGGGGGAGCCGGAGGAGAGCCTGGCCTTCGTGAGTGCTGCCGCGGGGGTCCCGGCCCCCCGGCTCTTGCCAGGGATATTGCCAACCCCCCCCGGTTCCGCCAGTGAACCCCGCGGGGGCAATCGGAGGCGAAAACGAGCTTTATCTCCGTTTGAAGGCAGCCGGGAACGCCGCTCCTAAAAAGAATAATTTATTTTCATGGTTTTTGGTAGGGTCGAAAGCCACCGTGGCGTCCACGTAGCCTGGCGTCCCGTTTGCACTGAGTCGATTCCCCTCAGGCTGCGTTTTTTTTTTTTTTTAGGAGAAATGAAACTGTACCTCCGGCTGGGTTTTTTTTTTTTTTTAGGAGAAATGAACCGGTTTTACAAATCGGTCGGGGGGGGGGAATGCAGCCAAGGCTCTAATCAGCTGCCGTTTATGACTTAATTATCTGTACTGTGCACTCTGCACTTTTAATTTTAGCTTAAATTAGATAAACGTATAGATTTTCAGATAGATGTCTAAATGTACGGATTTTCAGCATGTTGCTAGAAGCTGCCTTCCAGCGCAGGTGGCGCAGCTAAAACTTAGCAGGTTTGTGCCCCCGCCGCGTGAATTTTTTGCTCGCTGTTCCCGGGTCCTCCTTGGTTTCTCAACGCCGGGTTTTGAACTCCGCGCCGTAGCTTTGCGCGTGAGGTGCCCGTGCCGTAGCCGGCTGAGCGGTGTCGTCCTCCCCCCGCCGTATCGATGCTGCTCTTCGCCTTCCCGTTCGTCTGTAAAGGATGTCGGTGAGCCGAGATTTTATTCCGCGTTGCTGATTTAAAAAATAAATAAGTCGAATGTTTCAGGGTCTGGAGCCAATCTCCGCTGTACCCCATTAGAAACACTTAAGGAATCTTTATCGATGCTTATCTCAGGGATTTCTGCTTTGAGGGTTATTATAAGAGGACTAAAAGTGCATTAAATATAGGATGATGAGTTCAGTCCCCTGTAATTAATGTCTAAATGTTACAGAAGCTCCTGCCCTTCTGAGATGATTTATTTCCATATTGTAATTTAAATCCTGAAAGCTTGAGATAATATATGGAAATGAATCATCTCCATATGCCGTATAACTTCCTCCTCGGCACCGTGAAACTTCTGGGGGAGCCGAACTCTTCCCCACCGCTTTGGGGGGCCTGGGTGCTCCCGGTCCTCCCTCCCGGAGCTTTCAGGTGCGGAGGAAGGCGCACAGGGTTATTGGAGCTTATTTAATATACTTCTATACGCCAGCGGATCGTATTAAAAAATATATATTAATGCCTGCTGCATCGGAATTGCTAATGAGGTTGCCAACAGGGAGTGGAGCCAGCTGTCGATGGCACCGTTTCGTGTGGCTCTGGCTCGGTTTCACCGTTAACGGTGCTGGTTTCTCCCCGTCGCCGTGCTCCGTTTGGTTGTGCTGACCTTGCTTCGCTGCTGGTAGCGTTCCCGGCGGTCAGCGGGATGTAGGGAGCATCCGACCCGGCATTTACCGAGTTGCTTTTCAGACTCGCCCCTTTCCTCCGTCCCTTCACTGCTTTTTCTTGCTTTAGGCCGTGCTGCGGTGACAGCAAAGAGAGCGATCCCGGTTTTCTGTAAATTCTGCGTCAGCAGAATTCCTTGACGTGACTTCAAGTGAGAACCTTAAAAAAAACCTGATTATTTTAGGCTGTTGCTTTTAATCTTTTACGTCAGATGGTGAAAACAGTCTCAGAGTGGTAGCCCTGCCTGCGCTGTGCTCTGGAAACCGCTTCCCTGATACGCTTCCAGCCTTGCAGAGCGTTAATGGGATCGGAGGCCGGCCCGTTCCTTTCGGATCTGGGCTTTGAATATTTGAGCATCCTTCTGCGAGCGCACGAGCTGGGAGTTGCTGCGTGAGGCTACCTTCTTTTTTCTTTCTGTGCGTGTTGCAGAGTTAAAGGAGGTGCACGCGCTGCGTATCGGGCTCGCTAGATTCAATCCAAGCTCAAAATAATTCAGTAGACGTTGTCCGAGCTGTTATTGCGCAGATTTTGAAACAAGACATCGCTAAGTTTGCTCTGGGTGCTGCTCGCCTGGCTCGTAGGTGCCGGCGTGGGAAGGGAAGATGGAATACAGGCTGCTGCAACGCTGCGATGTAGCGAAACTCACATAAAACCTGCTTTCCCCTCTTGCAGGCTTCGGCGTTTTGGGTGGAGGAGGAGCTGAGGGAGCAGCAACGGGAGAAGGCAGCCAGCCTGAGACGTTTCCAGGGAGAGGTGAAGCAGCGGGTGAACCAGCAGGTCAGGATGCGAAGAAAGCAGCAGCTGCAGAAGTCCTACGAAGCGGTAAGCACATCTCTGTCCCTGCCTCGCAGGAGAAACTCCTCGGAAACCAGTATAAATCGGGGAAAAAACCCCACTAGACCTCAAGTCAAGGTGTTAATAGGGAAAAATGAGGAAGCTCGTGGTCACGGCAGAGCCCGTGGCCGCAAACGCTGTCCCCTCAAGCGAGGTCAGCCTGACACCTTGGCTCGCTCCGGCGCTGAAGGTGCTTTGAGCCCTTTGCCCTCCCCGCAGAAAGGTCGCTGGCTCGCTCGAGCAGCGGAAGAACGGAGTCCCGGCGCCCTGCGCGGAATCGTATGGAGTTAAAAAATAGCCAGGCCGGAGCTGCGAATGATGCGGATGTCTCCTGGTTGAGTTTTAAACAAAGCAGCTCATTTCTGCTCTCCCTTTTCCAGGGCAGTCAGAGAGTTCGCAAACGACACTTTCGCGCTCTCTCCGCATTCCCATTTCCCCCGCGGGCTTGTTTTCGATTATCCTGTGAACATATTTAATCCTTTCTACTTTTAAACAAACTGCCAGGAAGACTTGCCAGAAACTGACTGTGGAGCGAGAAGGGAACGCGCTGAAATGTCAAGGGTTTTGGCCACCCCTGGGGCGTTTGGGCTGTTTCCAGGGCTCGGGAGGCACGGTTGAACGGGGATGTCCTCGCGTAACTCCGCCACCGCAGCTCCAAACTGAAATCCCGCGGCTGCCTTCAGCCCCTGAGAACCCGAGGGCTCTTTGTGCCCCTCTCAGCGCGGAGAGCGCAAACGTCCACCCCGAGAAACGCCGCCAAATCGAGCCAGCGGCTCCCACGAGGGGTTTACCCGCGGCTTTTTAACTCGGGGGTCTGTCTCCCGGCAGGCGGAGAGGGAGAGCTGCCTCGCCGTGCAGTACTCGGACTCGGCGCTGCGCTCGACCCCCAGGAAGAACACGTGCCTCTTTCGGAGCCACCCCGCGCCCGCCATCTGCGGTCCCGCCGCTCGCGCCGTCCCGGCCCAGCGGCAAGGGATGCGAAGCGAGCCGTTCCAGCAGCAAGCCGCCAAGGTGAGCGGTTCCCCTCCTGCGGTTTTTCACCCCTGCTTCGTCGCGCTGGTTGCTCGTTGTTTGAAACAGAGGACGCGCAATATTCACCTTTCTACCCTCTTTTACGACGCATCCCTCGTTTTCTTTTTTTAATACCGAATGAAACATCGGCTTACGTTTTCACTCTGCTTTACTACGTATTGTTTTAATCCTCCGTAGCTCTTATCAGAGCCTCAAAACTGATAGCAGAAGTCTTCCTGGAGGATGCCGTGGTTGTGCTTGCCCCGCTGCTTGGAGCTAGAGGGAATTTTCCCTCGGCAGGCAGGGAGTCGTCGCTGTGTCGTGGCGGAGAGGTGGCACTAGGTGGTGCCACCTCATTGCAGCTTGTCTCCTGCAGACCAGGATTGCGAAATCTTGGAAAACCTGCTTTAGGGACTGTTTTAAGCTTGGTTTTGTTTTTTTTTTTTTTAAATAGCGATGCTTATGCTGCATTTGGCATTTTGGGAAGTGTGGGTATTCACCTGGGAGCTGGAGTTACTCCAGCTGAAGCAGCGCTTCCCTTGGGGTGGAGAAGCGCTTCTGGCTGCAGGACAATCGGGGATCTGGGACTTCTGGTGTCTCAGTGAAGTGATTTGGGAGCAGATGAGCTGTCACCAAGTCCTTTACCTTGCCGGGATCGGGGTTTCAGTGCATCGGGGCAGCTCTGAAAGACACCTTGGGTCGCAGGTTACCTTTTATTTGTGCAGCTCATTGCGTGTTTTGTCACGCTCCCTTGAAAAAGCACTTTGGCTGGAGCGGGGTACGTGAGGAGATCTCTTCTGTGAGCTCAACTTGGCGTAGCCCTCACGGAAAGGAGCTGGTGACCTCTTGTTTTGTCTTGTCTTTACCTTCCCTCTTAACGGCAGCTTAGCAAAACCGTGAAGCAAGTTCGACGCAGGCTGGCATCCTGCAAAACCGCGCACCAAGGAGCGGGTCCCCCCGAGCTCCCCGGCGGCGTCTGGAGGCGAGAGGTGAGCGCGGGGTGCCTGGGGTAGCGTAAGAGGAGTTGCCTTGCGCGCTGTTGAAGGCCTGGCTCTAATTAGCAAATCCAAAGCATAGTTCGGTGAGTTTTTCCAGCAGAAGTGGGCTTTTGTGGCCTACCATGGATGAGCCCATGGATTTCAGTGGCCTGAGGGCTCTGTCCCTCTGTTCTTGCTACCTTCTCCGTGGATTTCGGTGGCCCGAGGGCTCTGTCCCTCTGTTCTTGCTGCCTTCCTCATGGATTTCGGTGGCCTGAGGGCTCTGTCCCTCTGTTCTTGCTTGCCTTCTCCATGGATTTTGGTGGCCCGAGGGCTCTGTCCCGCTGTTCTTGCTTGCCATTCTCCATGGATTTTGGTGGCCCGAGGGCTCTGTCCCGCTGTTCTTTCTGCCTTTCAGAGAAGGCAGCAGGATGAAGTGGGTGGAAACATCTCTCTTTGCAGAGATTAATGAGAGAGAAACTAGGAAATAAGAATTCAAAAAAGATTTTTTAAAGGCTGAGATTGCGATCTGGGTATCTGGGAGGAATGTGATGATCAGCACTCTCCTTAGGTGCCTTTTAGTTCTTCAACAAACTGCAACAACTCTTT